GTTAGGCGTATGCTAACAGAGTAGTCGTGGGAATGGGCACATTCCCAGCAATACGCCTCACAATATCTTGCGCGAACATTTTAGGCGTTAAGCACTAAAACTGCCGTTTGTATAAGTATCCTCGCCTCCCGGTTTCCACTCTTTGTTAATCCCTTCCGTCTAACTTGAACACATCTAGGCTTACTGCACATTGTCAGCATAATGTCTTACGTATCTACCATGTCCCGTGCAATGTCAAGGCCTCCTCTTTTCCCTATTTGTCGTCTAGTGTACCGGTATTGCTGTTGAGTTCTGCGCCCACATTGTCCGTGCCTATACAGTCAGTTTGAGGCCTACTCGCATGGAAAGAGCACATGAATCATTGGCGGAAATGGGTAGTTCTGTAAGTTGCGTCTTTAAGAATGTTCATTTTGCAACTTTTAAGTTGGCTCCATCATTGTAACCTCTCTCCCTCTCTCTGGCTTTTTTATAGATCCTTCGTGGTATCACGTTGACAAAACTCGGGGGCATCGTTGTGCTGGCCTTCTCGAAGTCTCGTCTCTTTGAAGTCTTTTATTTCCGCATGTACTTGGGAATTGTCGTTTTTGGAGCACTGATTGGCCTCATCTTCCTTCCCGTTCTTCTCAGCTACATCGGTATGTGGGAACCCCTTTTTCTGTCCATTCATTTTTCAGTGGCTCATAATATTTCTCATGTTGGCTGTTCTAAGAGAGAGCGAGGACTGTTTGGCCTCACCGTTGGGACCTTGGCCCAGTTGTCTGTAATAAACCCTTAATTCACATCGTAAACAGAGTACTCTACCTGAGATGCGGTTATATACTTTCAAGTCAAGAATAGGTAGAAGCAACACGCATTATTTACTTACCATTCTTATTGGTATTACAAGCTCACTTTGACATTGTTTGCTGCTTAAAAGCACATTTAAGTATATTATCGAAAAAGGCAAGGGAGACTAGGGTGGCCGTTTCTGGCTTATTAGCCGTCGTCAGCCAGTCATACCAACTCAAGTATTGTCCTAGAAATTGGTGCCCCGCTTGGGTTTCGAACGCTCTAGCTGATCGGTGTATGCCTATCTGCTACTGTATATTCCCGATAAACAAAAAAACGACAAGACAGCGTGCCCGCGGCGCAGTGGTTAGAACGTTGGACTTCTAATTAACAGAGTCGCGGGTTCGAAACTTGAGCGGGGCAACACTTGATTTGGATGTGACTGCTCACGACGGCTAAAGAGTCAGAAATAGCCGTTCTAGTCTACCCTGTCTTTGTCGGTAATGTACTTTAGCCTATAGCATTAGCCGCCTTGTGGCGTAGGCTCGAGTGTGAGCTCTAAAAGCACCGTGGACAGAATGGTGTCCTCTAACTGATCGGTATACACCTATCTGCTACATTTAAGTACTTCAGCCGCCGTTTCATGCGTTTTCAGGCATTCTATGCTTCCTGACGCGCATAGCCGAACATCTCCTTTAGTGCTGTTTCTTTGCTTGTTCCAGGACCTTCGCTAAACCAGGCTGTCCTCCAAGAGAAGCTCCGACGTTTCCGTCAAGGTGCCCTCTCGCATGCAGTCAATGCGGAAGTCTTCACTCGGCTTGAAGAAGAGGATAGCAGTGGCAGTCTTCAGGGTTCCGGTCGGTTGACACCCGTTCCCGAATCTGCACAGCAGTCAGGATCGACTGAAAATACCTTGAGTGGTGAGGCCGCTTTTCAGTCCACTGGTTGCGGCAGTAATCGTCTCCCTACTCCCGGGTAGGGATTTCATCCAAAAAACATCGACATCGAAGGCCATCACCGGAAATGTTAAATCCTGCGACGCCCAAATTCCTTAATTTTCTCACTTTTTATCGCCATCTGTAATTTTATGCCAATTTGGATTTGCATCTTCTCTCTCCTGCCACCTCATCGTACCCCCATTTGTGTCATTCAGTGATTATTTTTTTAGCCTTATGCCTTTCACCGTGTTGGACCTCATTTTTTTCCGCACGACTGATCAGTATCTGTAACTTATTTCTTTGTATTAGCCTCCATCCATTCCTTTTATGCTACTGTTCGCATTCGTTAGTTTTGTTTGAGCCCACTTTGGTTTAAGATTTGCAGCCAAGACTTGTGTAAATAATTCAGGTTCAGATATTGACACAGAAGTGATTTCTGCTTCGGCAGTACTGTTTACTGGAGTCCAAACTGGGTGCAGTTGGGAGACGGAGGAAGGCCGCGACCTCGG